GTGATGGTAAATAGAAAACTATAAAGGCCTTACCAAAAAGCTGTTGTTATTAAGTTTCTCATTCTCCAACAACAAATGCAATACAAGAACAAACTTATATGACTGCTTACTTTGCGTTGATAGTAAAATATGGGAACTGGTTAGAAAAAGCTTTGAATGCTAAGGAATTAAAAAGGATATTCAGTGAAAAATTGTGTATGTACAGAAATAATAAATTTGGGAAGAAGTATGGAGATTAATCAAGTTAGTTAAGATTGATCCCAGTCTGTATTTGTGAAAAGGTGCCAAGGTGTTTCTCTATCTCATCTTATGCATGAATAACTTGGTGGAGAGATGGGTGGCATAAAATTTAATTAATTAATAAAAAGAAACCTATCATATGTAGACATTTCTACACAGCTCCACATTGATGGGCACATTTCTTCCACAACTAATAATTTAGGATTTGTTTTTGGAGAGCCAAAGCTAAAGCCTTCTAAATGTTAAGCTGAGATAATTGAATTAATATGTACAGGAATAATTGAACAATAGCAGTTGCAAATGAAATAATTAATATTGAAGGACATGGAATCTGTGGTCTGTAAGTTAAGTCAGTAATAATTTAGGCATCAGGTTCAATATATAGATAACTCTATTCATATAAAGCAGAGTTGAACATTTCATTCCTATGTTTTTCTTTGGTTGGTACCGTGAAAGTGTTCTTATTGCTTGTGCTACTTATACATAGAAAATGTATGGAAATGTTAATTACATTTAAATCTATTATTTAAAAATTGACTGTAAAAGTTAAATTTCAGTTGCCTTTATAAAATTTGTTGATATATTCATAGTAAAGAAATAACATATTTGCTATTTACATTCATAATGGTTGCAAAATAAATTTTTCTGCTGTTCTTTCTACTGTTTATTGGTTTTGCATATGTTCTGTATAGAACTCTGAATAAAGATGATTTTGTGGAATCCCTTTGAACAAAGTACATATGACAGTGAAGTATTACTTGATGTTTGCAATTTCATTGGAACCCTGGAGGTGAAATAATTCAATACTGATACATGCAGTAACAGACAAATTAACCTTTCCTTCCTAGGTCACAATCCCATTAAAAATCCTCCTATCATACTACCAGCATAGAATGACTTGATTCTGAAATCTCAGTGAAAATTTGTCCCTTGTTATTTTTTTAAAAAATGCTAAATAAATCACCTATTTTAAAGAGGACATTTAGGTTATTGAGTCCAACATACCTTCCCTCCAAGACATTAGATAAAGCATCCTCAAAAGATCAGTTTCTGCACTCTGCTTTAGCAAATCAAAAGAGAGGATCATCTCCTTTGGTAATTGGTACTACTATTGAACTGCTCTTACTAGCAGATTCTTCATCATATTTAACCAGAAATTGTATTCCTGTAACTTAAGATATTTACACTGAATCAGGCACTCTGGAATGATAAAAGGCATTTTTTATATGACAGGTTACAAGGAACTTGATTTTTTTTCTTTTTGCAAGACTAAACATTCCCAATTATTTCAGTCTTTTCCCATAGCATTACTAGAACTAGAACTAAAGGTGGGTTCTTATCAAAGCAGAATGAAGTAAAACAATTAATTTCTCTGACTTAGAAAGTATACCTTTATTGATCCAACATAAAATTGCTTTTGCTTTTTACAATTGTCACATTGCTAACTCTTTGTCAGGTTGTGATAAATCACAATTTTAAGATCCTTTTCATATATGCTGTTGTCAAACCAGTGTCATTTGAATTCTTTTGGTTTTGTGAAAAATTTCCATTTATCATGATTTAAATTTCATTCTGGTATTTTCAACCATTCCAGTAACCAATCATTTTGAATATTGTCTTTGTTTTTAGAATATTAGCTATCCTGCAGAATGTTACGTTGTCTGCCAGTTTGAAAATATTCTATCTATCTCTTTATCCAAAATTTAATGCAAATGTTGAGAGGTACTTAGTCCTTGACTGAATATTATGACATCTGACATGATAATCTTATTTCTGTTTGTTGAGGAATGTTGATGAACACTCTATCATTTTTGATATCTGCAAATCATCCTAATAACTGTACCATTGTTTATTAGTTCATGTTATCTGAATGTCTCATTCTGGAGAAAGTAAATCTATCTGGTCACTAAGAATCAATGTTGAATGTCATGGGATATTTTGTCAAATGCTTTAGTATTTTTACAGTCTACTAAGAAAGTTACCTGTTTGGGAAAAAAATCATCTGACACAGGTTTTTATCAAATTTCTACTGACTAATAACTTGTGCATGTTTCTAAGGTATTACAAATAAATAATTTATAACAAAATTTGGTCAATTGTCTATTTTTAGAGGACTGGTTTCTAATTCCTTGAAAAGGACTTTTTTCCGTTTTGAAGCTAGGGAAAATCTTTGCCTCCTTCCAATCATTTGATGCTTTGTAAAGTTCATTTTCCTGAACTTCTTAGTAATAATGGATACTGGTTTGGAATGGAATAGAGTGCATTTCATCTGGCTCTGGAGATGTAGATTCATTCAAGATCAATAGATATTCTCTGGCTCTATTTCTATCAAGCTCTTGCTCCTTCAACTACTATCACAATTATTTGATGAAGTGCATATCCACTTGACATGCTTCCAGTCAATGCATTAAGCATGTGTGGATTGACTCAAGCAGTCCTATTAGCTATTAACAAGGAGCCTACGGGAATACTTGGTCATGTGCAAGTTTAATGCTTAGCATTAGTGCTTTAGGGAATTTATTCTGCATAATGATTTATATGCAAGGTATACTTTATAACAGCCATTTAAGTTAAGCCATTATCTTCTAGGTCAGTGGTGGCGAACCTTTTAGAGACCGAGTGCCCAAACTGCAACCTGAAACCCACTTATGCATCGCCGGGTGCCGGGGGCGTGGCCACCGAATGAGCGTGGCCAAGTGGGTGTGGTCACTGAATGGGCGTGGGCCCCGAATGGCCGTGGCCATGGTAGTCATGGCAGCATGGGTGGGTGTGGCCAGCATCAGCAGAGCCTCCCAGTAGATCTGTTGTGCCGGGCTCCTGACGACCAGCTGTGCGGCGGCCTCCCTCCGGAGCTCGCTGGCATGACCCAGCCGCGCGGCACCGCGATGTGCTCCCGGCAATTAACTGTGCAGCGGCCGCCATCCAGAGCTCGCTAGCTTGGCTGGGACCATTCGCCTCCCCCCGTGAATGTCGAGCCCACAGGGGCTTGACAGGCGGGCTGCGCGAGGCAGGGCGGGCTGCGATGATGAGAAATGGCAGCGCCGAGTGCCACAAGATGCCAGCGCCGGCGGGATGTTCCGGGGCCGCTGGGCTGGGCTCTTCGGCCTCGGCCTCCCCCGGTGGCCGCCATCTTGTCCGCTGCGGCCTAGCGGCGCAAGCTCAGCGGCAGAACAGAGACAAGGCAGGGCGTGAGGTGACGCAAAACTTACCGCTTTCGCTCGTGCTCTCTCTCGCTTTCGCTTTCTGCCATGTGCTCCGAAAGTGCTTTCTTTTATAGTACCCTGCCGTATGCGCAGAGAGCGCAAAAGAGCTGCACATGTGCAAAGAGGAGGGAAGCAGCATTGGTTCGCGTGCCATGAGGGACGACTCTGCGTGCCGCCTGTGCCACGCATGCCATAGGTTCGCCACCACGGTTCTAGGTAATATAGGCGAAACAGGAAACCAAAATAACTTCCTAAAGGCCATATTTTGAATTCAAATAGAGATACATTTTAACTGAGAATTTCTTCAGTTTAATCTTCTTTGTTGTCCAGAGTCCATCAATGTTCAATGAATGCTGCTGTAATATTCCATCCTTTTATCTTACTGGGGTACTTGAATCATTGTTTCTTGATGTTATAAGTAAAAGCAACATGTCTTCATTCTTTTTCCCCAATGAGCTATTATCTTTCCCACACTGAAACAGAGTTAGGAGAAGAAGACTTAGCTCTTGCAACTCAGAAAGATGAAATTGACAACCTTTATGAAAAAAAAAAAGGCTTTGACAAATTTTATTTCTACCTGGAAACTATTTTTGGACTTTTTATGAGAAACTAAAAGGAATGAAATGTTGATTTTAGGATTTGATGATTATAATTATATGGAATTATGGAAGTAATACAAATGTTAAACTTAAAATAAGTGTTCAGTTGTTGTTTTTACTTATATTTGTACAAAGGAAAGTCAGAAGTCATTTATTTACCTTTTTTTTATCTTTCTTTCTTGCATGTTCACTTTTTTCTTCCCTGAGCTTGTTTTTTCAGATTGTTTTCCTCTTTATCTTTTAACTTTGTATTTTCAAAATTGTGCATGTGTGTTAATGTGTATGTATATATATATATTGTATATGTATGTATGTATATCAATAACACTGTGTCACATAAATTGTAGACCAGAACTAAATATAGTAAGTTCTGGGTCCACTTTTAACAAGCTAAAGCTTCTCAAAATATGACCTGCTATTCGTTATTATCATGTAGCAAATAAGCCAATATTCAATTTAAAAAAAAAATAAATTTGGCAGAAGAGCATTTTGGAAGTACTAGAAATACTAAGAACGTAAGAATAGATATGGTGAATCAGGACCTGTCCAGTCTTATTCCAGCTTTTTGTTTCCATCAGTGACCAACTACTTAATTTAATGAGTGATCCACTCATATTGACAAAACTCTAGTTTTTTTCTAGTCCTGTTGATATACCCATATCAAAGTATATAATTTTATCTGTAACTTAATAATCATAAAGTGAGAGTTAACAGTGATCTATCAAGTAGGTTGATTATTAGTTGTTATTAGATGGGTTCATTTTGGTTATTTGAGCCACACTATAATTTTTCATATTATTTTAGTAATATTATTTTAAACCAAAAAATATATTGCAAAATAAACTTAGAATAGGTATTCCATTCTCATAAATGATATTACAGCATACAGTATATTGCATCTTTAATTTGAATGATTAAAATAGTTTGTGACATTGCCTCATGTTTTGTTCCATTGTAGACAATGAATACAAAAGAGGAATATGAACACAGAAAAGATAAGGAAAGTTACCTATGTGCAGTTTGCTTGGATATCTACTTCAATCCTTACAAGTGCTACCCATGCCATCATATTTTCTGCGAACCTTGCCTACGTATGCTTGCCAAGGATAATCCAACTAGCACTCCATGTCCTCTCTGCCGTACTGCAATTACCCATGTTTTTTTTCAATCAGGTGAAAAGCTTTCTTAAAATACATTTCAGTAACTATTGCCTATATTTCCAATTAGTACTAATATTCCAACTATCTATCCTTCTCAAGAAAATGTTCAGTATTAATTGTATTCCAAATAACGGAATGTATACTAATAACACAGCCAACGAAAATAGGACTAAATTAGATGTGGTGCAAGCTGATATGTGTTTCTAAGTGTATCTGTCTCAGTGGCATCAGTGGAATGTCACATCGAGTTAATATGTAAAGATCTGAATGTATTTCAGTCAAAATTGTTCAACTACTGGCACATCTTTATGGCAAAATCCAGAATGCATGTAGCAGGTATTACATTCTCCCCAATTATCATTTATATGCATAGTCTGCCCTTCCAAATATTTTTGTTTTATGTATTAAATGTACATGCTGCCCATCTCACTATCAAGTGCCTGTAGTCAGCTTAATTTTTAACTAGGCTTATATGTGAGGATTTCTCAGTAGTGAGAAATGAAAAGAAAACACTCGTGCAGTTAAACTATGATGAGGCAAGCGTTTCTCAGAGACCCCTACCATTTATATAACTAGGTTGAAGTAAGTTTTAGTATGTGAAACCATTTCCTACCAAATTAGCTTAGTTTTAGCATTTACTGCTTTTCTTCATTGCCTCCTTGACATGCATAGAGATTGTGGTAAATTAAAATTAAACACAGATTCTCAAGTGCAATAGCCTCATAATCATTAAAGACCTAGTAATATGGAATCTTCAACTCTTTCAGTTTGAACAAATCCAGACATGCATATTATGTCTTCAGTACATAATAATCTACCTTTTTCCAAGAGCTAATGAAGTTACCACCAAAGTATTCCCCTTTAGTAGCATTAAATTGTATAGAAGTAGAATATAATCTTAAAATGCAGTATTTCAAATCAAACTATAAGCCTCTAAGGCAGTAACAGAGGAAAGAGTACTTGGCAATATATAGCAACTGAACATCTAGCTAATTATTTATTGCATTGTCCACTATTCACAAAAATCATAGATTATCTTTTGGGAACTTTTATCAAGACAACAAGATTTTTTTCTTATTCCATATTAAAAAAAAATCTGGATAAGAGGAAAAACACATTAATAACAAGTTTTAATAAAACTGACTGAAACAGTAATTACATCTATGATTGTGGTAGAGATAAATATTTCTCATTTATTGCAAAGTTAATGAAAATGAGAAGTGATATTATTTATGTGTTTTTACATTTTGGATGACTTTGCATAATAGAAGGTCCTAGAACAAATTATATTCTGTATCATTCTTCAAACTATATTCAGTAGAAGAAATGGGTGTCTCATTAATATTCCATAGGGCAAAGAATGGAGACCTACTGGACTTTAGACCCAGTCCAGAAGGCTCTTCTTTTTGATCTGTATAATTTAAAAAATACTTATTGCTTTATGTCCAACCAATATCATTTCTGCTCTGTATAGTCTTATAGTCTTCATATACTCTGAATTTGGTGAGAAACCCACAACTTCTCTTATAATTGCTTTAAAAATGCTTTTGAAACAGGCCAATGTTTCAAATCTCATTTGCCAGGTAGCACAGTTGGCAGCTGTTCAAAAAGATAAAAGAGGATATCTAAGAGTTTACTGCATGGTTCTCTAGATTGTCTCATTCATCTTGATGGATATAGTAAATGCTTCTGGAAAGTAATAGATTTATCTTCAAGAACTTATTCTCTTTAAGTTTTCATAAATATGAAAAACAATGGAAAATTGATACCGATATTTTTATTACTAAATAAAGATTGCTAACATGTTCTATATTTTTTCTTCTTATATATTGTAGAACTGAACAATTCCACAGAAACTTTCTTTCCAATGGAATATTCAAAATTAAAGGAAAATTTTCAAAAATCAAACTTAGCAAATTGGCCTCTCCCTAGTTGCAAAAAAGTATTCAGAGTTATCGATGGTAAGTAAATTGTTAATGATTATTTTACATTAGAAATTCATTAATTTAAAAGTTAAATATTCAAGGACATGCATGACCTAATCATACTTTATTCTCTATGAGGATTTGTTTTTAATGAATTTTCATCTATGCCTGTTCTGAAGGTAATACCATAACCTATATAGAATTGCAGTAGAGACAATACAAGTTGAGTTTTTGTTTGAATTTACACTATACACTTGCATGCTTGAGTAGGCACTCTCAGAACATTCTAGCTGAGTTGTTTAGGCAGGAAGATATCCCATTTCAACACATGTGCCGATATCGAAAAGGGAAACTCATGAATTTTCTTATTTCCTTGAATTGATGCAAAACCTCAAGACAGCTATAGCCTATGTGGTAAGAATGGTAAATTGTTGAATGCATGGATTCAAAGACCAACAGTTGCAAATATGCAATACTGCATCATAAAGGCAGTGAGTAACAAGATATGCTTACAAAATCTCAGTAGGCAGTTATGAAGATTAGAAGATAGTATTGCTGACCTGCATTAAATCTTGTGTATAAAATTGAGTAAAAATTAAGAATTGAAAACAGAGTATAGATCAACAAATATCTGATAGCTAAACTTATTAGAAGAAGGCAATAAAAACCATGATAGCTCCACTAAAATGAGAGGTAAGCTTACTGCTAGCTAGTACACCAGGTATATAATAGTTGTTAGCAAGATATTGTGATGAAATTGGGATAAGGGATAAGAGACAGATTGAGAGCTGAGATATAATACAGAAAAATAAGTACAGGTAAAAATAAGGCTCCATAAACATCGAGGAGATGAAAGGAAACTTCTAACAATATAGAAACAAACAAATATAGGTAAAACAATGCTATGAATGACATAGTAGTGAGTCATCACTTTAAACAAGAGTATGCAGGTTGCACAACAGGCTACAAAAATAGAAGAAATTTTCAAACCAGATCATGAAATGCTAAATAATAAGCACAATAGGTTTAATAGAGTAAAGAGTAATTCTTCATAATGCAAAAAAAATGAATAGCCTTCTAGATTATAATGTCTTGGTAAGGCCACACTTGGAATACTGCATCCAATTTTGGTCACAACGATGTAAAAAAGATGTTGAGACTAGAGTACAGAGAAGAGCAACAAAGATGATTAGGGGACTGGAGGCTAAAACATAAAGAACAGTTGCTGGAATTGGGTATGTCTAGTTTAATGAAGAGAAGGACTAGGGGTGACATGATAGCAGTATTCCAATATCTCAGGAGTTGCCACAAAGAAAAGGGAGCCAAGCTATTCTCCAAAGCACCTGAAGGCAGGACAAGAAACAATGGATGGAAACTAATCAAGGAGAAAAGCAACCTAAAGCTAAGGAGAAAAATTAATCAGTGGAACAACCTGCCTCCAGAAATTGTGAATGCTCCAATACTGGAGATTTTTAAGAAGAGACTGGACAACCATTTGTCTGAAATGGTATAGTGTTTCCTGCCTGAGCAGGGGGTTGGACTGGAAGATCTCTAAGGTCCATTACAACTTTATTATTGTTGTTGTTGTTGTTGTTGTTATTATTATAGAGGATCTTAAAGCAGCATAAAGATTTGGTGCAGAAGAACATCAAGTGGCTCTCACTTCTGCTATTATAGGTGTAGAAGTAGGCAATGATCTGTGGGTAGAGCTATCAGTTACCTCTATAGTCTATCTCTGGGAATCACATTAATTTTTTTTCCTCCTACTGCCTTCTATAAAGAGTTGTCTAATTTTATTGTTGTCATTATCAGCCATCCAGTTATGTCTGACCCTCGGCCACTCTATGGATAAGCATTCTCATACCCCTCTGTCTCATATTGCCTTCTTCAGATCCACCATGGTCATCCCGTCATCCTTTATAATGTCCAGCCAGCTGGTACTAGTGTGGTTCCCTTCTCCTTTTTCCGCTGACTCCCAGCATGATTGACTTTTTGAGTGAATCAGCTCTCATGACAGGACCAAAATATGACAGCCTTTGTTAGGCAAAGTGAGTTTCGGCCTAGGACTTCTTTGTTTGTTATTTTTGCAGTTCATCAGATGTGTAATAGTTGCATGTGACGCAAATGGGGCCATGAGCACCTGTGCGATGCTCGGGCGATGCTAGCGCCCTTACAATGCCGCGATGCTAGCATAAGTGGGGATGTTGTGCTAGCAATGCTAGCGCCAGCATCTAGAGCGAGTGGGGGGATGCACTTGTGGCAATACTAACACCCGCACTATGCTCACAGCATTGCTAGTGTCCGTGCAACGCCACAACGCTAGTGTAAGGGATGAACAAACACATGCACGTGCTCTAGCCAGCTACTCACACAGCCTAGTGGCCAACAGCCCTGGTAGTGGGCCGCGGACCGCAGGTTGGTGACCACTGTTCTAGAATGTCTACTTCAACAAATATTATAATAATAATCCTAACTTTTTTCACTTTTACACTTTCCTCATTCGGATTCAATATTTTTTAATTGTTTGTTTGGGGAATCTTTCCAGCTTCTAAACACCTTTATGAAAATTGGAAGAAAAATTAAATAAAGCTGAACTTGTGCCAAATACAGTTTAGAAGTCTTTGGCTATCTTTTTTCGTAGCCAATTGAAAGTGATACCATACTTTGTTTTTTTTAATACATTCAACTTACTGCCTGTGATCCCCTTCTCTATTCAACACTTATTTTCCTCCTTATTAAACATTTTCTAAATATAAATTATATATATTTGAATTTAAATCCATCCTTCAAACTATTGCCAATTCTTTCTGAACAATATTACACATTTTAGCAGCGCCAATACGAATCTACAGGATTAATGAAAATTAGTGTTCATCAAAAAGCAAAATCTTCAAAGAGTATCTCTGTAATGCTGTATACTTATTGGGAAATTACTTGGCATCTATTCTTTCTAAATTGTATCTCTTACAACTGATAAAATATTTATAGCATCTCTAAAGTCTTTTAGGTCATTCCTCCCAGAGGCTCTGTGGGTTATATTTTAAACATAATGGATTGTATTTCTTTTCTCACCTTTCTAGACTTTCAAAACATTCAGAGTACATAAGTTTTATTGCTACACATTGTGATTTTTTTTCTTAATAACCTATATTCTCATTATTAAATTTCTTTTACTTTTCTAGGTAGTAGCTATTTCTTAAAATCAGTATTGAAAAGAATAATCTGTAGTACAAAATTAGCATTATTTTCCAATATAAATTGATGTCTCAATATAAATTGGCAGCAAAATTTTTGAAGTAGTACCCTTTTCTGCCCCAATTTATGACTGTTTCAATTTACAACCATGATGAGCAGGTTCTATTAGGGTCATAAGTCAAGGACTAGCTATAGTTAAATTTAGGGAACAAAGAAACATACTATATCTCCATGTTGATTACACATCAAATTTATGTTTTAATGTCATTTGTAATCTAAATGTAAATACTTGGAAAATGGATGTATAGATACTATACATATTGACCAAATCATTGAAAGATACACTTATTCATCTAGTATTTGTAGTATTTATCCTAATAGCTACTGTTGGCAATAGTCAAAGAATTTCCCTCTTTGAGATCCATTACATTCCTAAACTGAAGTTCTTAAAGTCTATTATAATTTCCAATCTCCTGCCATACCTTCCCATGCCTGACACCACCATGATGTTGTGGCCTGTCTCCCTTCCCCATCCATGGAAGCCCATTCCCTCACACCAGGCTCTCTAAGACCCAGGGTCAGGAACTTCTCAATGTCATCCTCAGCCATCCAGAGAAGCCCTGCTCCAGGACACTATAGCAGTGATGGCGAACCTTTTAGAGACCGTGTCCAAAAACCGCCCCACCCACCCCCATCCCGTCGCTCTGCCCCGCCCACTCCACCCCCACCCCGCCCCATCTGCTGGACCACCCACCGCCTCCATGGCTCGCCGCAGATCGCTCAGGCAGCCTTGTAGCGCCATGATGGACATGCCCTCCATCCGCGCCCACAGCATCTGCGTGTGATGGGGCGCGAGGGCGGAGTCTTGTCCCAGCTGCCCAGCTGCCATGTGCTTGGCTGCGCTGCTCCACGCCCAGGGGTGACTCGCCTCTGGGGGGCTGCTGATGAGGGGGCCGCGGGGGGAGACAGGGCTGGGACGACAGCGCGTGTGCCCACAGAGAGGGCTCTGAGTGCCGCCTCTGACATGCGTACCATAGGTTCGCCACCACTGCACTATAGCATCATCAGCTCTTAGCATCATCAGAATACTCAGCCACTACCTCCCCATCCGCTACAAAACATATATACACATTACAGCATGTTCATTACATTCCAACACACAAGGCTTCCTTCCCACCTTCACTCACCACCAATTCCTCCCTGGCTCTTACCCAGTGGGGGCAACTGTCCATTCACAAAACACTTAAAGGCAAGGAGCTTAAAAACAGATGAAGATAGATGGAATCGTGTTATTTCTTCTTCCTTCTTCCTGCCTTCTTGGGGCCATTTCACCATCCCTCAAAGGAAGAAAGTCAGAAATTTAGAAGAAACCAGGCAGTGCCAATGGCATCCAGCACAGAGTTCCCAGCAAAAATGCCAACAGAAGCCCAAGAGTGTCTGGCAGAAACATTCCACAGCAATCCGTATCAGCCCTTCCTTAGCATCCAGCAGCAATCCAGTCCTCAGCAACAGCCATCTTCCCCAAAACAAGTCCTCAAAATTAGCCTCCTGAAACAAAAAACCATTGTCCAGCCGCAACAGCATGGCACAATGCAACCAAACAAAACTGGCTCTGCAGGCACAGCTAACAAGATGTTGGGAAATGCTGAGAAATGACAAATGCAACAAGTCAAACAAGGCCAGGAAAACGAATAGAACAAAACCACAAATGCTGGTGTCCTCTGGTATGCTGCTCTTCGGTATAGTCTGATCTGCTCTTGAGCCTCTGGCCCTCCAGTCTAAACAGCTTTCATCTAGGTAGCAATTCCTAAAATGAAAAAAAAATTCTCACTCACACACAC